ATAAAGAGGAGAAAATGGGGCAACAGAAAACTGCTGTGACCCCATGGACTGAGGAGACATAGGAACTCTTAAATTTAAACCCAAAGATTTCATAGATAACCTGAGTTATTTCATCAGTTCATTTCATCAGTACTCAGTGCCTTCATTTTTCTGTCTGTAAAACAAAAATAATGATTCACTGCTTATAAGATTGCCTATTTAGTGACGGAATATTGGACATTTAGCCTATTGGAGATTTCCCATTGGTTGTATCTTTTTTTTTTTTAATTGGCCTGTGATTTCATTAGGATGAGCTGTTGCCAGTGAGGAAACTCCTACCAATGCAGATCTGCACTTACCATGAAATTTATAGTCCTAGAGAGTTGCCCGGGGGGCCTAAAAGGCTAACTGACTTGCCTAGGGTCACAAATTCAGTATGTGTCAGAAGTGGGATTTGAATTCAGATCTACCTGACTCTGGAGGCAGCTAGGTAGCACAATGGATAGAAGACCTGAGTTCAAATCTGTTCTCAGGTACTTACCAGCTGTGTGACCTTGAGCAAGTCACGTGAGCTCTGTTTGCCTTAATCCCCTAGAGAAGGAAATGGCAAACCACTCCAATATCTTTGCCAAGAAAACCCCATAGAGGGGCAGCTAGGTGGCGCAGTGGATAGAGTACCAGCCCTGGAGTCAGGAGGATCTGAATTCAAATCCTGACTCAGACACCTGACACTTACTAGCTGTATGACCTTGGGCAAGTCACTTAACCCCATTGCCTAGCCAAAAACGAAAACAAACAAACAAACAAAAAAATTAAGGAAAAAAAAAAAAGAAAACCCTATGGACAATATTGTCATGCTATGGTCCACAGACACAACTTAACAACAGCTACCTGACTCTAAAACCAGCTTTTTATCCACTAGAGAGCTTAAATTCCACAGGAGAAAACAACATGCCTCTTGTTAAGTGAATACAAAATGCATACAAAGTAAATTAAAAATAATTTTGAATTCATGCTTTAGGTCCAAAATAAAATTTGTTACCCCTCTCCACCATCCTTCCCTCTTTTCAACTTCCTTATCTCTGTCCAGGGAATCCCAACCCAGACACCTAAGTTTTCAACCTCAGCCATTCTTAACTCTTCACTCTCCATCACCCCCCATAGACCCAATCAGTTGCCAAATATTCTACTTCTACATTTCCTAAATCCATCCCCTTCTCTCCACTCACATGGGAACCCCCCCATTTCAGATCCTCATCATCCATCACCTGAATTATTGCACTGCCTCAAGTTTCTCCCCTCTAATCTATCTTCCAGACAGCCGCCAAAGTGATATTCCTAAAGCAGAGTTCTCACCATATTACCTTGCTTGAAAAGCTCCAGTGGCCCCTGTTGCCACTAAGATAAAATACAAACTCTATTTGGCTTTTAAAGCCCTTCACAACCTGGCTCCAGCCTTCCTTTCTAGCCATATTTCATATTATTCCCCTTCACTTACCCGATGTGTGGTAGCTGTATGAGTTAGAAGGAAAGAAGGTGTGTGTGTCTTGGAGTGAATTCATGGTATATTGTGGAGGTAAAATAGATCTTAGCAGCTGATTGGGTAGGAAGGAGCTGGGGTGGTGGTGGTAAGGAAAGAGAAGAATCAAAGCTGTCTCAGAGGTTTACAATCTGTTTGGCTCAGAAGATAATGGTGCCATCAACATTGTTTAAGAGCTGGGCTACTGCCTCTCTACTCCCTTCTAAATGGGTTCGATCACATCTGTCAGTCACACTACTTCAAGCCTCCTCTCACCCTGTGCTCTAAAAAGGACCCCATCTGGGAAATATGGCCCCAGATATTTACTTGCTATGTGACCCTGGTCAAGTCACTTAACCTCTGTCGCCTCAGATTCCTCAAGTATAAAACGGGGATAATAATAACACCTACCTCTCAGGGTTTGTTTTGAGGAATAAATGAGATAATAATTGCAAAGTATTTAGCACAATGCCTGGCACATAGTAGGCACTTAATAAATCCTTCCTTCTTTTCCTTCCCTCCTTCCTTCCTTTCCTTTCCTCCTTCCGTTCTTTATCCTCCCTCCCTCCTTTCTTCCTTTCTTTTGTTTCCTCCTTCCTTCCCTCCCTCCCATTTCCCCCTCTCCTCTCCCTTTTTTCCTTCCTTCCTTCCTTTCTTCCCTCCTTCCTTTCTTCCTCCCTTTTTTCCTCTCTCCCTCCCTCCTTCCATTCTTCCTTTCTTCCTCCCTTCTTTCTTCCCTCCCTCCTTCCTTCCTTCCTTCCTTCCCTCCTTCCTTCCTTCCCTCCTTCCTTCCTTCCTTCCTTCCTTCCACCCTTTGTTGCATACAAGTTTCAATCTAATTAAGCTAATGTTGCCACATGCTGCTCCTCAAGGAATGAATCCATCAACAAGCAAGTATTCAGTGCTTCTTTTGAGCCGGACATTGCCATGAGGTGGAGCTTGAGCTGAGTTTTGAAGGAAACTCAGGATATTGAGTCTGACTAGATGGATTAACAAATGTTTTTTTGAATAAATGATTCTGGGGGAAAAAGACAGGAGTTGGAGACATCACCTATGATGAGGTTATTTCAGTAACCCAGGCACAACGTGAGGAGGGCCTAAGCTGGGGTAGTGGCAATAGGAATAAAGAGTAAGAAGAGAGAGTTATAAGGGTGCAGTAGAAAGAAGTTGGAGTCGAGAGACATGGAGTTTAGCCTTGGTATTGCCACTAACCAGCTTCTAACCTTGGGCAAGATGCCTCATGTCTCCCTCAATCAGTTAGTCAATAAACATTTATAATAATAATAACAATAATAATCACTGCATTTATGTAGCACTTTAATGTTTGCAAAGCACTTTTGGTACACTATCTCATTTGGCCCACACAACAGTCTTATATGATATGTGCTATTACTATCTCCATTTTCCAGATGAAGAAACCAAAGTCAATAGTGGTTACATGTCAAGAGTCACACAGTTAGGAATTTGCTGAACTTGGACTCAGATTCAGGTTTTTCTCCTTTCAAGTTAATCACCAGATCCACTGTACCAAGTAGCTAGTATTAAATGCCTACTCTCTGCCAGGCACTATGGTAGGCACTGGAGAGGGGGATAGGGACTGGATTTCATTGGTATAGAGAACTCTTGAATGAAGAAACTCCCTTTATTGATATACAAAATTAGACACAAAAGCTTAAAACTGTATTAAGACTTTGAGGACACCCTATATAAAAATCTAAGGTTGTTTGTTTTGAGTGGGGAGGGGGAAGAGGCACTAGCAGCTGGGGAGATCAGGAAAGGTCTCTCATAGGAGATGGTACTTAGGCTGAGCTTAAAGGAAATTCAGGGTTCTAAGATGTAGAGATGGGGAGAGTTTGAGCTGAGCTCAGCTTCCCCATCTGTGAAAGAACGGGTTGAACTCGATGTTCTCTAGGATTCCTTCTATTTATAAATGCTATGATCTTCAAGAGTCAGTGTAGTACAGTACAAGAGAATTTTGGATTTGATTGTGCTTCTTTGGAGATCTCTGGGAATCCTAGAGCCACTTTTTAATTTTCCACTCCCATTTTCTGCAACGTCTTTTTGTGGAAACTCCCCATGTGTCTCTGTTGTTTCTCCCTGTGCCAGCTCTAGCCCTTTATGCACCAACTATGCCTCAGAGCTGGTAGATGTATTCATTATAAATCTAATGGGAATCAGGAGGGTTGAGCCAATATGAGTCTTTGGCCACGGAAAGTTTTTGTTTTTGTTTTGTCTTGGTGTGATGTAATGGTGTGATGGTGAGATGGGCTCTCCAATTCCTAAGACTGGGTGACGCCTGTTGTGGGTGATAAACCCCATGTAAGGGGGTTTGCATGGATATGGTATTGAAGATTCATCCTTCTGCAGATTCCAAGAATAAAGACATAAATGTACCTCCATTATGCGGTGTCGTTATTGCTTTGATTTAAAGCCAGTGTGGGCTGAAGTGACCTTAAATCATCCTGCCCTCACACTACTAAAAAGTCACATTTTCAGTGTTTATCTTAACACTTCTTAGCAGGTTAACAAGTAGACTGTTCATCAAGGGGCTTCAGCTCATGGAGAGACTAGGATTGAAAGGATATTGAGCAGAAAGAGGCAGCTAGGTGATGCAGTGAATAGAATGCCCAGCCTGGAGTCAGGAAGATTCATCTTCCTGAGTTCAAATCTGGCTTCAGATACTTAACTAGCTGTGTGACCCTGGGAAAGTCATTTAACTCTTTTTGCCTCAGTTCCTCATTGGTAAAAATGAGCTGGAGAAGGAAATGACAAACCACTGCAGTATCTCTTGTCAAGAAAATCCCAAATGGGATCATGAAGAGTCAGAAACGACTGAAAAACAACTAAACAACTCAACAGAAAGGTTCTTCTAAACACCGTGGATAATCAGTTGGTACAGGAAAATAATCTTCCAACCCGTTTCTTCTTTTCTCCCATTTTAGGGCTTAGAGAGAGCAGAAAGTTTGGTCTCCAGGTGGGATCTTAGAGTTGTAGACTTAAGGCTGGAAGGGGACTTAGGACCTTCTAGTCCAATCTCATTTTACAAAAGAGGAAACTGAGTCTCAGGGATGTTAAGACCACACAGATAAGCATCAGAGGTGGTATTTGGATTCAGATCTGGTGACATCAGAGCCAAGGTGATTTCAGACACCTTCCTTACTGTTCAGTCCCTCTGCAATGGGCTTGGTAGGAACAGAAGAGCAAAACAACTTACTGCCTTCCCCTTGCCCAGCAAGAAAACATGACTCTCTTTTCCATCCCACCACCTTCCCTGCCCCCACCCCCAACCCAACATACACACACACACACACACACACACACACACACACACACCCTTCTTGGTATCCTGTGTCCTGATTAGTTAGGAAAATTCATCTCCCCTTCTCCCACACTAAAGCCCAGGGTTCCAGATAGTAGCCATCAGTGTCCCTGAGTGGTAGACCCTGGGTCCATTTTCTAACAGCCCTTTGTATTTTTCTTCTATTCGCTCATCCCCATTTAGCCTCAAGTCCTTCTCCAGATGGACAAGATGCAGCCCGACCTACCAGCAAGAATCCCTCCACCTGGACTGTGGAAGATGTAGTCTGGTTTGTGAAAGATGCTGACCCTCAGGCCTTAGGACCTCACGTGGAGCTTTTCAGAAAACATGTATGTAGATATGATGGGCCCTGGGGAATGGGATGAGGGGGTTGGGGTGGGAGGTCTGAAATAAATATACAGATGACACTGACTAGTTAAAGTGGACCAAATGAACCGCACCTCACTCCCCTCTATCAGAGTGAAATGCTTGAGATATACTGAAAAAGAACACTTGCCTACTCTCCATTACCCAGGAAGAGAATGAAGCTTTCTTCAGAGGACCAGAGTTCAAATCTTGCCTCTGGTGCTTATTACCTGCATGATCTTGGAGAAGTCACTTGACCTCTCTAGGCCTCGGTTTCCTCAGAAGTAAAATGAGGGAGCTGGACCAAAAGCCCTATAAGGTCCTTTCGAGCTCTAGCTCTAAGATCCTACAACCACTGCTGTTATTTCTGCTTCAAAAATAGCATTTCATTTGTCCCACATGTTACTTGGTTTTGACATTTACCAGGTAGGCCAGCTTAGGATTATTTTTTTTTTCCCAAGTGAAGCGGTAGCTGGTCCGTCCAGCATATTGCTAATTTGTGGACTCACCAATCAAGAAAAGATTATAGGAGATATCCAGTTAGGACCTTTCCTAGAAAATGTGATCCCTCTTGCCCCCAACAATGGGGGCCCATTCACACAAAAAGAATCAAGGAAGCTTTTAAGGCTCAGGCCTCAACACTCCCATGGACCGTGCGTGGGAGGTGAGGTTATACTGGGATCTGAAATTTGTGTTGCTCTTTAGCACTCCCGGTCTCTAAGCGCTTGGTGGCCTTGTTGATGAGTGATTGCTCATGACTAAGGGTCAGGATTGTTGACCTCAGGTTAAAAATAGACCTGGATAATCATTCGAATTCCCAGGCTTAACCAAAATAAATGAGACACAGTTTTTAAAATACCTTGAGATTTCCCAAAGCCAGGGACTGGATTCACACTAAACTATCTTGTTACTCTGCTATGTCATCTCCCAGTATAACACATTATTTGCTTTTATTCTGTCCCTGAAAACATCTTCTTGTAAATAAGTTCATTTAGTAGAGGGTTAGAAGGAGGGTCAGAGAATAGATATCAAGAATGTCTGTGACAAGCCCACCTCCACCCCATGCACTTGTCCTGGAATTGATATTGGCTAGGAAAGCTTCCCTACTATGTACCCTGGAAAGGGAAACCTCAGGAGAATAACTGGGCATCCTGGATAACTTGACCCAGTAACCACATCTGTATATAGGAACAGGTATTACACTGGGGCTTGGGTGGCAGGGACAGGGGTGAGGTGGGGGAGAGAGGACAAAAAAGCTAATTTCTCTACTGACACCTGAATCTTATTCACATGGTTTTCATTTGTAAAATGATCCAAAAGTTTATGAAACTATTAGTTCTATCTATGGGCGCTATCCTCATTCAGAAAGGGTCTGAAGAATATGAATAGAATAAATCACTCCTTCACCCCTGCCCTGCCTCCCAATACCATTTCAATCTTCTCTATCCCTTTCCCTACCAAGAGCTCAGCCATCCTCAGCTCTGTCATTACAAAGTACCCATGAGGACCTTGGTTGAGACCAAGGGTCACACCACTGCAGTGTCCAATGACTTGGAGGACTTAACATCATACATTTCAGGCCTATCTGCCTTTATGTGATCATTAAGCAATGCTATTGATGTGTTTTTTTTTAAAGCAAACATCCCAGAACTTACTTATCCAAATGAATGCTATCCCCTTTATTTGGGGGAAGGAGGCTTGCCCAGGTCACCAGCTACTAAGTGTCTGAGGACAGATTTGACCTCAGGTCCTCCTGACTTCAGGGCTAGTGCTTTATCCACTGAACCACCTAGCTACTCCTTCAGAGCAGTCCCCTTGGGAAGCTAAGTGCTTGGTGCTGTACTTACTCCTTATTCCTCCCTGTCTTTGAATGACTTTTGATCATAACAAAAAAAAATTAAATCTACTGTCAAATGATTAACTATTGAGGTTTTATATTCGTGAGAATGTACCCCAGTTGGCTTAAAAGAAATTCCAGAAACATTCTAAATAATAACAGTATCATTGGAATAAATGTCTAGCCTCACGAGAGGACTACTTTGAAGGCGGCAATGATTGTTTATATTTATAAGTTTGAAGATGTTTATTTAAAATCACTCATATTCCTTTACAGTCACACCTCATAGTCAGTAGATGTGTTCTAGGAAACATCAATCTTTTACAAATAAAAGAATGTTTTAAATGCATGAGGAAAAGCTGCTATTTAAGGTAGCAGTTCTTATTTTTTGTGTCCTAAACCCCAAAGATAGTGAAGTCTGTGGACACCTCTGAATGTTTTTAAGTAATTAAAGGAAATGCTAAATTACAGTTAGAGGTTAGTGGAATTTTTCCCCCATTTGAGTTTATGGATCCCTGAAATCTATCCATAGGTCTCTTGAGGTCCATAGACCCCAAAAGAATCCACTTTTATAAAGTGCAACATAACACTACAATTTATCTTTTTTTGAAACCTGGATTTTCATTTAATATCATTTAAAGTAAAGTAAATCTGTAAATTCCATTCCCAAGAGACAAATATGTCAAAGAAAAGTTTAAGTGGGCACTTAATTTAAGGTCCCTGTCTAGTTTTCGGGTGAATAGAGCTCAGTTCTACAGATCAGGTACTGTCAGCCTTGTAAGATCATTCAAACAGGCTCCCATATTCGAAACCTTGATTAATGATTCTTCCCTCTTTCTCCTCTCATATCCAATTGGTTACCAAGTTCTATGGATCCTACTCTGTGACAGCTCTTTCATTTGTCCCCTCTCTTATTTCTGCTGCCACCACCCTAGTGCAGGGCCTTACTACCTCCCACCTAGACATTGGCAGTAGCCTGCTAACAGGCTTTCTTATCTGTATTCATCTATCCTTAATACTATAACTAGATTAATCTTTCTTATGCATTGACCTGGCAATGTTATTCTGCTCAAAAATCTTAAGTGGCTCCTCTTGAATAGAATTTGGATTTTTTTTTCTCCTGGAATTCAAAGCTTTCCACAATTTGGCACCAACCTACTCTTCTAGCTTTTCCCCATAGCGCTCCACCCCCAAATTATTCTAAATTCCAGCCAAACTACATTCTAGCCTACCTCCCCCCACATACAAACACATGTCATGTGATTTCCTAACTCTCTAGCTTTGCTTATGCTCTTCCCTCTGCCTGCAGTTCTCCCTCTCCCTTTTTAACCATTAGGTTGAGCCTGGTGACCATCTCAGGCACTTTCCTTCAGGACTAGGAACTGGAGCCAGATCCACTTCTGTAGTTTGGATTCAGTCAAAGGGCCGCACTTGAAGACCTAGAGGGTCATATGTGGCCTTGAGGCCACAGGTTCCTCACCCCTGGAAGAGGAAAGTGGAATAGGGGGTGGGAAGGGCAATTAAACCAGGGGCAGGGGGCGGCAAAGACAATCTTGACCTGCTCCAGAATTCTGCCTAGGGCTGGCCCTGGATCCAAGGACAAAGAAAGGCTTGTTGTTCTTCTCACAGTTAATGAATGGTAATTTTTCCTTTCTTGAAGTCCTTATAACTTACTTCAATATTGTATCTGCGGTTCTGGGAAATGTACAGTACAGGTATCTAAATTGAGGTGAGAAGAGGCTAAAGAAGCCCAATTGAATTAGACTCATGAATTAAATATATCTTGGGGAGTTCTGTGTCTTTCTTAGCAAAATGGGATTAACACAAGTACCACTGGTGATTAGAGTATTAACTGTAGCCCTGTAATTGCATGCGCTAAACTCTAGTAAGAAGCAGGTGAATCATTTGTGTGTAGTTATTGACAGGACCAGAAAGCACCTGAAACCTCTCACTGGGTGCAATTACCACATTGGCAATCAACTAAAGTTAGGGATGAAAATTTTAGGGAAAAAAAATCACAAGAGACCCAGGGAATGAATGGCACATGGGGAAAGGAAACTGCAAAACCTCAGACCTGGTTTTGTTCACATATTTTAGAATATGATGGATGTCATATCTTATTCCTAGATACATAGAGGTTGGTTTTGGGAACACAACAGAGATAAAATTTCCTGAGTCCTCCCTGAGTAATAGAGATGTTATTTTCTCCAGTTTCTTCAACAAAGAGACATAGGCAATGAGAAGATTTGCCTGGACCCAAAACACACCAAAAGAGAATGCTAGGCGATAGAATGTAAACTCCTTGTGGGTTAGAGACTTTGTTTTTTTTTTTTTTTATCTTTGCATCCCCCTCACTTAGAATAGTACCTGGAACATAGTAGGCACTTAATAAATTCTTGTTCCATTGCATTGTAGAGTTCTTTATCTCTCAATTTTCTATCTATTGTGAGACCTTTGTCAAATCATTGACTATACGTGAAGGTCAAGAGAGCATAAGTGTTCATAAGATTTAAACCTTAGAGGTCATTTAATCCAGTCCCTTCATGAGGGAACTGCCTCATGTCATAAAGGGGAAGTAACTAGTCCAAGATAACATAGTAAGAAGCAGAATAGGAATTCAAACCCAAGCCCTTTTCCTTTAAATCCAGTACTCTCCGTTAGAAAGAATCTCTGGAAACAAGACATGCACATACACAACATTTAAAGATGAACTTTCTAATAATATCACAATCATAGATTTAGAGTTACAAGAGACTCTGGAGGTCATTTAATCCAAATCCTTCCTTTTACACACAAGGAAACTGAGACCCAGAAAAGTGAAATTATTTTCTCAAGGTTACACACGTAGTAAATGGAATTGCCAGGATTTGAACCTATGTCTTCTGATTCCAAATCCAGCACCCTTTCCAGGCAAGATGGAGAAAAGAAGTTAAAATAATAGGTAAGCACTGAGGGGCTTATACTCCCTAACACTTATACTTATTAAGAATACATTTAAGTACTCAACTCTAAACTCCAACACCTATTCTTAAATGACTACAACCTTACTATACATACATATATACACATATAAACATATATATAAATATAATACATGTACACACATAAATATATATAATACACATATACACATACATATACATATACACAACACAGATACAGCTATAACTATCAATATCGATATAGATGGCAGCTATATAGCATAGTAGATAGAGCAACATTCCTAGAATCATGAAGACCTGAATTCAAATCCAGCCTCAGACACTTACTAGTTGTGTGACCCCAGGCGAGTGACTTAACCTCTATTACCTCAGTTTCTTCATCTGTAAAATGAGCTGGAGAAGGAAATGGCAGACCACTCCAATATCTTTGCCAAGAAAACTCCAAATGAGGTCACAAAGAGTTGGACATGACTGAAACAACTGAATGAATATACATATTTGTATGTGTATATATATATATATATACACACATATATATACACACAGTCATATATACACATACTATATAGAGAGAGAGAGAGAGGGAGAAAATATATGGAATGTATTTGGAAAATATATGTATACATACATACACATATTTGTATATGTGTGTGTGTTTCTCAGAAAAAAAGGAAAAAGGTCTCAGACACATAACATTTACTAGCTGTGTGACCCTGGGCAAGTCACTTAACCCCATTGCCTAAACCCCCCCCAAAAAAGAAAAAGGACAAAGCAATCATGAAAGAAACTAAGCCATACATCCAGATATGACGCTTGCTTTCAAAATCGGGGTATATTGATTTGTTTTTCTTCAAGTCACTGGAGGTAAAAGATGTTGCCTTTAAAAGCATCTTTATACTATATAGCACTAAGTAAATAAATATTAGTCATTATTATTATAATTGTCATTATTAACTAAAGACTTAAATTTCTAAGTCATTTTACTAGTGATAGGCCTTGTACTTGACAATTCCTCTACAAACTTAACTTGGAAAAAGATAGAAGTGGTTATCTGACGAGGAAAATGCAACTCATCTTCTTAAAAATTTCATGTGATTTGAAGTCAACTTTGGCCCTAAAATTCATAAGTCTAAGCAATTTAGATTGAGGGGATTTAGATTTGAGGGAACAAAGTCCCCCAAACACTAAACTGTTCATATTCTTTGATGTAATAATACCGCTAACAGGCCTATTCTCTATACCTATGCCTCTGTCTTTCTCTGCATCTGTCTTACCAAAAAAAGAGAAAAAGGAGCTATGTATACAAATACGTTTATAGTAGATCTTTTCACAATGGCCCCAAACTAAAAACTAAAGAGATGCCAACCAATTTTAAAATGACTAAACGAATTATGGTTTTTGAATGTAATAGAATAATGTTATACCATAAGAAATAATGGAATAGATAGTTTCAGGGGAAACTGAGAAGAACTCTATAGACTGATACAGAGTAAAATGAACAGAATTAGAACAACTTACACAATAACAATTTTATAAAGAAAACATCTTTGAAAGAATTCTTTATCAATGCAATGGTGAACAGTGAGTCCAAAGGACTGAAAAATGAAGCATGTCACCCATCTCTTGCCGGAGAGAAGGTGGTCTTAAAATGAAACGCGCATTTTTTCCAACTGGCTAATGTAAACATCTTGCTAGACTCTGACTATTTGTTACAAAAGTTTTATTTTTCATGTTTTGTTGTTGTTATTGTTCCATTGGGGTGGTACAGTGGAGGAGAAATAATAAATATTTATAAAAATAAAATAGATGTGAAAAGTATTCAAAAGTATGTGACCATCCTCTCCCAAATATCCTCTCTGTGTCTGTCTCTGACTCTTTCTCTATCCTTCTTTGTTTCTTTCTGTCTCTCTCAACTAGGAAATTGATGGCAATGCATTGTTACTGCTAAAGAGTGACATGATGATGAAATACCTGGGCTTGAAACTAGGGCCAGCACTGAAACTTTGCTACCACATCGATAAACTCAAGCAGTCCAAGTTCTGAGATTCTCTAGAGCATAGAAGCCAGATGCTGACATCATGTAAAAGGGTAGACTTTAAGGTAATTTGCTGCCTTACCAACGTACAACTCCAACCACAAAATTATTTTCTCCTTAAAAAAAGAAAAACAAAAAACAAAGACTTCGTTTTTTTTAACATTTGTACACCTTTTTTTGTTAAAAAAAAAATCAAGTATAGCCTTTTAAAGAGGCTGCTTCATGTTAACAAGTTGCAAAAAAAAGGTACAAAAATCTTAATAATTATTTTAACATTCCTAATATGATTGTTGTTCTTAAAGTAGGCCTTATTTTTGTAACCCCAAAGTGAGAACACTGAATGTGATAGCCCTCTGAGATATCTTGGGGGTTACAAAGAAGAGAAACAACCCTGGCAGACTCTGGGAGGTGAGGGATTAATTCCTGGTTTATTACAAAGTGTTGCCATTTTTTCCAAACAGTGCCAACAGCACTGCCCAGTGTTATATACAACACCTAGGACATTTCCGGTGTTGGTTGGCTTAGTTCAGCTCTCAGAGATATCTCCTGAGAATGACTTCTTTGTCTTGCACTATCTGGAAAACTTGAATTCTTTTGCTTTCCAAAAAAA